CGATAAGAATGGAGACTATTTCATTAATAAGTGTTTTGTTTTGATATATAAGTTGTTCCGAGTTTCTTCATCTAAAAAAAAAAGGCAACATTAATTTCTTGATGACCTAATAGTTCTTTTAACTCGATTGGTACAAGTGGGATCTTTCAGCAACAACTGGACTCTTCCATCAGACTGTAATGAAAATCCACTTTGTTATTGGTCCTTACACAAATTAGTTCTGTCCCTTATCTAATATCTTTGGTGAAATCATCCAAGACAATTAACTTCCGGATGTATAGAGTCAACCCCTGTAACGCGGACGCTTCACTAGCAGTATCTCACCCTCGACTTTCAACACTGTTCCATTGACTGTTTTTATTTTTAACATTGGTTCATGCAGTTTTATCTAACTATTGGAGTTTTCGCGACGTCTGTGAGCTGTTAATTCTTGCCCCGAGATCAAGACTGGAATGTTGATTTTAGCCTCAAGCCTGCATCTTTCTTATCTGGTATTGTGGTTCGCTAGTTACTTCCCACGCTCTCTTGTAACATTTTGTAACTATACGTTATAAAATCTAGATGTAGTTCTTTAAAACCTTCACATATTTAATAGACTTAGTATTTGTGTTCCACAAGTAACCTTCAGTTATCAACAATATTGTTGGTTAACTGAATATACACCTCGATTAAAGGCGTTTGCGAAATAGCAGTAATAGCTTTAATTTTTTTATACTTCAATTGGCGAACATTTTAACATTAAAGAAAGCTATCATGCTAAGGAACTTACTCTACTTGGTATAATGAAAGGTGAGATATTGTAAATGAAACCTAATGTTTAGCTTTGAGGTAATTTGTGTCCTTCAATATGCATGACAGGAAGGTTCCTCTCATTCATATTGATGGACACAAATTACCTCAAACACTGGCAACTATTGAACTTCTGACACAAACTCCCATTGTAAAAATGGTAATATCAATGACTAATAAAAAAAAAACAGTTTACAAACATCTTCATGTTGGAGCCCAATATGAGCATGTTGAGAATACTAAGCTTTATCATAATGGGACCAAACATCTACATCGTTCAACTGGGACACCACAAGCTTCACACAAGTAGTGTAATACACCCCCCCCCCTCTATAAAATGAAACGTTACATCCATTAAGCTTAAACTTAGTCATTTTATTATAACCTGAGCTAGAATATACACACACACATTCTTCATAACACAAGGAGTTCTAAAAACATTTGCTTCAAATCACATGGACTTTTCAGTTATCAAACAAATACACATCACTTTTCTTCTGTTTGAAGTCACCAGTTATACAAATTAAGGAGCTGGGAATTTGAATTTTAGAACCTTAGAAAATGTGGTGTGTGTGTAAAACTACTTTGTTTCTTTGAAAATAAGCACAAATCATGTGGTCCCTTGGAGTATTACTTAAACAAATCACAAAATATTTAAGTTTTTTTTTCTCCTCCGAAACTATAACTTGTAATATTTGTGAAAGAAAATTTTGTCTTACAGATAAGTTGGAATGAACAAATCATACTGCAGTACAATTTAAAGTAGATTACATCTTACAAAGTTTGACATAACACTTAGCACAAAATCATACGTAAACAGAGAAATAAAATACTCATAAGCTTTAGTTAAGTAAGTTGTAAAATAAATAGTTTACAATGTTATGCTGGAAAAATGTATGAAATATGATGTATACATGAAATATTATACAGTACTAATTTGTAATAATCCGCAGACCTATTACGATAAAACTAGTACCAACAATTTCTTTTACTTCTATTCATAGGTATAACTACAATAGTTTAAGACGCACACACGCAATGTTAGTCAATAATTTCAAATATGACAGTATAATCAAATTATTTATGATAAAAAAAATGTTATATCAACCACAAAGGCACCAGCACTTTGAAAAACACCATAAAGCATAAAGAATACGCTGTAGCTAACACATATTACTGTCTGTATTCTATAACTGTGATCTCCTGCAGGTGACTGTAAACACAAAACACTGGTACTATACAATACACAGTAGACAAGTACGAAGTGTGCAACCTATAACTACTCAGCCGATTCAATTAAAAACAATTTGAAGTATAGTAACTACATGGAAGTAAACAGCGTGTAAGAATTAAACTAATAAACTTCAATAATTCCATTCTTGTACCCAAGTAATCACTGTCTCGTATGTTTTTTAAATCAAGAATAACATTTTTAGGTACTATTTTTTAAAAATATTTTTCAATATTAATTATTTATCTACATAAGTTTGTAAATTCGGTATAATTTCAACGATTCTCGTAGATAAGCTTGGAGATGATTAGAGTACATGCTTCAACACATGCAAGAACGACTAACAGCCAAAATTCTCATCCTCGAGAATTACTGTTAAGATTTGCCACAATTACAGTAATTCTTGTTTTCTTACATTCAACAAAACACCGAATCCCGTAAACTAATACATCCAAAAACCGAAATGAATAAAACGACTTCTTATAAAGAACAGGGAAACTGTAACAAGAACAAAGTTGTACACACTGTAAAATAGAGTTACGTCCTCAATCTTACTTCTACAATCTTTCTTCGATAAAACATTTATATATGCAAATCAAACAAAAAACAACGCACTGTTAGGTGACTACTAAGTACACAGAAAATGTTAATGAACATTATAAATTTTGTTACAATGAAATCAAATCCTAGGAGTTAAAGTAAAATCTGTCACAACAGATTTGCATATGCACACATTTCTTGTAAAATTCATGTAAATTAAATATCCATTTATACACTCAAAAGTCCTGCCTCACAATGTAAACACCTGCATTAAGCTGAAGCACAAATGAAGGCAAGGCAAGAGTTTTATAAAATGACACATTTCTTCTTTCGTCGCCCTGGCTTCTTGGAACCATTGTTTGTCTTGCTTTCAGCCAGTTTTCTGTTACTAATTTCCCTCATCAAATCAAAGAAAACCTAAAAACCCAAAAAACAACAACCATCCTTTTACAAAGAATAATTATTTAGAAAAATCTAAGAAAATCTTTTGGATAATAAGCCAACGTTTACATTACGTGGAGAATTTATTAGAAAGACCTAATGTCAAATGTTTCATCCAAGTACAAAGATACAATCAAAGTCCTATTGCTACTGACCTTAGAATCTGGCTTGTAACATTACATTCACATAAAAAACTAATTATCAGAAAATACTCTAAAATAATTTACAAGAACACTACTTTTACTTGTCAAATCATTTCACTTTTAGTATAACTTTACAGACGTTTCTTTGCAAGGTTTAGTATGACAGAATTAAATAAATTACTAATCGTTTAAAAACACAGAAATTTTTGAAGAATTGAAACAGAAAACATTCTCGGAGAACATACAATATTTCCACATTTCACTTATAAGTGTACTTTCACACCTGTAAATGGACCATTGTCTAATCACCAGATCACCGTTTCAATATCATACTAGTTAAAAACGGAACTCGTGTTGAGTGATATCGCATGGTTCAAATTTATCTGTTATTTCAATCTTTATAGCCTTGAATGTAAAATGTGATATTTAATCAGGTATTGTTTACAAGTTCACAAAATGTTTGTGGAAATGAGAGTGAAGTTTACAGAAATAAGAAAAACAAACTTTTGTTGTTTAGTCCATGTACTGCACAATAAGCCCACGATATATTTAGGTAAATGTTTTTCTCTCAGTAGTTTTACTGACGGGTTAGTAGATAATTTCTCACACGCAACATGATTTGTGTTGTCATGTGTAACAAACTGAAAAGTTATAACTAGGGAAGTATTCTGCACCTTCTACATCTTGATTACTTAAACAGATTATTTTCCCACAGGTGTTCAGCCGTGTGCATGGCTACAACAAGTTACTACCAACTGAGAGAAGAGCAGTTTATTTCAATGAGAAATGTGTGTGTGTATGTATGCATAAGAGGGTAAAGACCTTAATATGAGAGGCACTCGCACAAAATAATTTGACTGAACAAATGATGAACTGTATAAAACACAGTCAGGGTGGGTAAAGACTAGAGCATTCACACTATGCATGTGCAAACCACCTCAACTAACAAAGTTCCTCGTTAAATATGAGATGCTGGACGTCTTCCGTCACTAAACAAACGTATGCTGCTTCTTTTGATGAGAAAGAGACAATGAACCTTAATGTTGGATATCTTAATTCTTTTTTTACCATAATATTGAAATACGTTATATATATCATAAAACTATACCACTTAGTTTTGAAGTAGTACAAGTATTTAACACAAATTAATATATTCTCTTGTATGTCAGTAATTTTAACAACAAATACTTATTGTACATCTAAAATCTGAACATTCTATCATTTTTGTTCTCTGCTACAAAAGCTATTAATATCTTCTGTTGTATAAAAAAGCTATCACAGTTATGTACTGTACAGAATATTATCGACTTTCCCAACACACAACAGATAGGACTGACCTCCAGTGCTTCATTCAACACTGCTGCAATCCCAAAAGCTTTACATATTCAAAGTATAGTAAGTATGAATTCAATAAATACTAGCAAATGTTTTGTTTTTGTTTTAAATTTTCCGGTCAGGTTTTTGGAAGCAATTCATCAAACTATTAGTTAGGCCTAACAAATTATTTCTTTGGTGAAAGTTAAGCCACATTCATTGCTCAGTAGGATTTTGTTATGATTTGGAGAAGCGTTTTATGTGATGTCCGAGACATACAGCTTAAAGACATTTTGTACACATACAAGTGAAGGAATCCAGTTAATGCTCATGAATGATCAATCTGAAATCAAATCTCAAGCAATTTTATATGACTGAATTGTAAGATTTGAAAATAATAATACAAATTTGGATGAATTATTGTCCACGATATTTTTTGTTATCAGGTTAAATAAAATACTTTAATTACAGAGTAGCAGTCAAAAGTTACTACTTTATCTTATTATTAATATTAGTATTCTACAAAGTTATGTAAAGTAAATGAATATTATGGCACACTCTTTTAAGATGCTAACATACAAGTTAGACTATTCCAATTGAATATCAGAGGCACAAAATACTTAACACAAATTAAGTGGTCTCCCTTGTGGGTGAAGACTGATAAAAATGTGAGAAATGTTACATAAAATGAAGCTGAACACACTGTTGTCATTACCATAGTGTGATAAAATGATTTATGCAAAATCAAGTAGATTTACAGTATGTTAGCAACAAAAACCAGATTTTAAATATAGATACTAAAGTCAATCACTGTTATGCTTAACTTAATACCAAAACAAAATGAAAAACTCCCACGTGCCACAAATATTCAAAGTTCTTAAATCTTTCTTTATAATAAATTGACACTCTTATTGATTCAAACTGTAAGGAAAAGGCATAATTTAACAAGATAATTTAGTTTTAAAAGAATTAGGTCTATACTAGCAGAGACCCGCAAAGCATTTGAGGTCAAATTAGTATCTTTATTGCAACAGTACTTCTATAAATACAGGATTTCTAGAATAATACACAAAAATTCTAATCTCAGATGTCAAAGTCTGCAAGTCCATTTGTCTTAGGCCTAACATTAGTTAAGCCTATATTAAGTACAACCTATAGCCAATAATAAGATAAGTTAACACTAACTTGTATATAATTATTTGCTTTGGTTTAGTTAGGGCTAAACTTTCCCACACTTAATACTATCAATAAATAAACTTAATGTTATTCTATGACTTAATAGACCTTCCTAAAAATTCTGATACAAACTGTCTACTAAAGTATATTTACATTCACCTTTTGTTTACATCTGTTGAAGTGATATACATGCACATTTTCAGGACAGACAAAAAATGAGTATTATTATAATAGACTAGTGATGAAGGTAAAAACATCACAATCAGTTCTTTAAGAATTGAATATTGAACTTAATTTTGTTAAAAATGCCCACTTACCAATACCCAAATAGTCAAAATGAGTCAATTTTAAGCCTACATTACATTACGATATGGAATATTTGGAAATAGGTAAAAAAGATGCACATAACAAGTGGTCATTGTTCTAGCTACTACATAAACAATAGTTTTGATCATGTTATTTTTAACACAATTACATGAACTATGAAAATAGATGGAAGTTAAACCAAGTGCACTTTAAATGTTTCCATGTATATTTTCTTGTCAAACAAAATACCGTTACATACATAGCTTGTGTTGTAAAGGTCTGTGTGGACTTATTGTACAAAAGAAGGTATTATAACATTTTGAGAATCACCTTGTCTACGTTGGCCCTAGTTTTAGCTGAAGTTTCAACATATGGCACATTCCACTGCTGAGCTTTGCTCTGTGCTTCTTCAATGGCTACTTGTCGTTTGTCTTCCAAATCTGCCTTGTTCCCAACAAGTAAAAAAGGGATGTTCTCGTCACCTTTCACACGCAAGATCTGCTCCCTGTGAAAGAAGGAAAAAAACTTGCATTACGTGATCAGTAAGTGTCACAAAATAATGTTCTAGACATCAGTTACAAATGTAAAAGAAATGATACATACATATAATATTAAATACACATATGTACATATCACAAGTTTTTGTATCCCTAACTTGTTCTACTGAACAAACATAATACATCAATATTGGTAATATACATACATACACACTAGAGTATTAGTTTTATTGTATCCTTAAAGAAACAAGCATACTGAATTTTTTAACTGGTACACTTTCATGTATGACATGTGGGGCTATTTAACCCTTCAAGCATGTCCCTACATGCACACACACCCTTGAGAAAAAGTAAAAACTTAAACTGATCCTTATTTCAGGGAAAATTAATCATTTCCCTTTTAAACTTTCATAAAGTGCTGGCATCAATTACTGCCAACTACAAGTACTTCCATAAGCCCGACACCCCCATAAGAAAAAATAAAACAGTTAAACTGGAGTCAAGTTTATCTTTTCCAAACCTAAAACTTGTGTCCTCTCATCCTATTGTCTTCAGAACATAGCACAAAGAAATCAGAAGGCTTCATTCTATCTTTTATCTGTATAATCCCATAAACTTCAATAAGATCATCCCTTAACCTTCTTGTTTCAAGAGAAATAAATTAAAGATTTTAACCCATCCCCACAAGACAACCCTTCCATCCCGAAAATCATCCTAGTACTCCTCCTCCACTGAACCCTTTCCAATAGGTCATGATCTTAAATAAAGAGACCAAAACAGTACACAGTATTCAATATTAGGCCTAATTTGTAGAGATAATTATCTCTCTTGACTCATGATCAATGTATGTTTATAAATACATCCTAATCCTCTATTAGTTTTGCTACTAGCAACAGGACACAGCTTTTAATGACCTGGATGACTTATCCAATGCTATGCCAAGATCCTTTTCTTCAATCATGCTACTGAGCTGGTTCCTGTCTATATTAAATATGCTACCCAATTTATAATAACTCTAATTATGTTATCTTGCACTTACTGATATTAAAGTCATTGGTCAGATATTTGTCCAACTAACCAACTGATTCAAGTCAATTTGTATCCTCAACACAGCTAGAAACTTCCAAGACATTATCCACAAAGTTTGCTAATTTGTTAGTCATACAACTACCAATATTATTAATACAAATGGTAAAAAAGTAAAGAACCAAGCACTGATTACTGTGGCTCTCCACTAGTAACGAGAGTTCAGTTTGACTAGATTCCATTAACACAAACTTTCTGGTTTTTCTCATCCAATCTTCCACAGTCCAACCTCCACAAATGTGATTTTTTCAGCTAACCTTTCATGGTACACCTTCTCAAAAAGACTGTTTAAAACCTATGTATCACAAATACATACACTTTCCATCATACAGATAACTTGTGATATCCTTAAATAGGGTGAACAGATTAGCAAGGAAAGATTTCCTTTTAGTGAATTTATGTTAATTTTCTTTAATGATATTATATATCACTAGATAATCTTGCAAATCTTTTATCAGACTCTATAGCCTTTTTCCAACTATTGAAGTAAGACAAACTTGTCTATAATTTCCAAAGCAATTCTTATCACCCACTTTCAAATTAACATTACAAACTCTCTAACCCTCAGGCACCTTCCCACCATCTAGTGATATAACAAAAATTTTACCCCCTTTTAAAACCCTGCAAAAAAAAAACTGCTTTGGTCTGGCTCTATTTTTTTTTTTTTACTTTCTCAATCTACACGATTATAAAATGTATTTCCCATAGAATGTTCACAATCAGGAATATCTAAATCATCTTCCTTTATAAAAAACAATTAAAAGTTCAGTCATCAGCATCATTTAATGGTCTGATTCCTATTTTACTTTATTTTAATATTATCTGTCCAGCTGTTTCTCACAAATATTTGGGTTTACAAACTTCTTTTTTTAACCTAAACCCTAGCTTTCCTACAAGTGTTACAATTTTTAATTCCATTTTTCAGTTTGAACCTCTTAAAATCTTATCCTTAAATGTTTCCTTCAGTAATCCAGTTATGTTACCTGTGTCTTCTTCTAGGAACACGCCTATCTTGAATTAAAACCAAATTTAGTTTTAAAAACTTCTCAAGTCTGTCCCACATCACCTTTTTACTCATTATTCCATGTCACTAATGATAAATATTGTCTCATGGCCTCAAAATTGGTTTTACAAAAATTAATAACTATGATTTCATTTCTTCTTTTCTTAAGATACATTCTCTTACATTTGCTCAGAAGGAAAACAAAACAAAACAATGAAGATCTAAAATAATTATTGAAATTAACAGTGTTTTTTTGTACAAATATACATAACCTGAAACTTTGTACTTATTGTTAATTATATTTAACATGTTCTTGTTTACTACTGCAAGCACTTAGTTTTTGTTCCTTAATACACCGACCAAGCTTGACCTTAGTTGGGCATCAGATTAAAATTTTGGACTAACTGGATCATAAAACAGGACATAATATCAGTTAATGAAGAGATCCATAAGGATGAACTATTTCACAAATCCTTCTTCGTAGTGTGGCTACTATTACATTTTTTTTTTATTGTTAAAAAAATCGTTACTCCATTTCAGTAAATCACTAACTAAAACTACTTATTTTTTGTGGTATATATATATATATATATATCTAATCAAGTTATGAATTTTTAAATAGCTTAAAATGTGAATGCAAGCATAAAAAAAAAGACTCGACCATAAATGCCAAGATCTGATCTAGAAAACTATTAATTTCAATGGCCATAATTTGAAATACATTTTACAAGGTTAACCAACTGATGTTTCTCTTTAGTCTTAAGTGTATAACTTCTACTCAGTTTGTTGTGTAGAACTTACTTACTTAACTTACAACATACTATTTAGTTCTGACATATAAGATTAGCTTACTTTTTTTTGTAAGTTCTTAATCACCAAGCAACACACACAAGTTCTCAAATACTTAAAATTTCAAGACCTTTTAATTATCTAATGTTTATTTTGAGAATTTTCAAAAAGACCAACTTATTATTCATATACGCTGTCAAGATGTTAGAAAAAATTTGGAGAATTAATTCATATGAAAGAATGATTATTATTCTTAAAAATAATTTTTTTTGGAAATGTTATACTCTGTATGTTGAAACTAATAAAAATTTAAGACATTCAAGAAAAAAGCTAGCACTATTCTTTCTTTTTTTAAAGACTGTCAGCAGATCTTGATAATTTTTTTCATTTTAAAACCACAATCTAAATTCTTTAATAGTTAGAACTCAAACCACACTAACCTGAACTCTGCTGTAGCTGAAAAACTTTCATGTTCCGTTATGGAGAACACACAAAGAAAGCCTTCTCCAGAACGAAAATAATTGTCTCGAATGGCAGCATAGTCTTCCTGACCCGCGGTGTCAAGGATGTCAATTTGAACTTCCTCTCCATCCAACATAACCTTCTTCCGGTAAGAATCAGCTTTAGTGGGCTCATAATCTTCTACAAACTGAACATTATGGATGAAAAATTATAGCTACGTTCTATTACAAACAAATTAATATGATTTTAAATAAAAAGAGGCTATCTATGTTCTTTTAAAAACATACAAAACACAGACAATAAGTACACAAAAAAGTACTCTTAAATACAATATAAACTCAAATTTTCAAATCTTTGAGGCAACAGACAGACCCAAGGAAGGTTGCTGTGTCAGGCCTTGTAGACCATTAAGGAAGATAATACCTGCAAATTAAACATTTTAGTTAACCTAAAAAAAATTACTTTTACATTACAAGTATTCTTTTAAAATATTATACAATTAATATTTCATTATCTGCTGTCTAGGTCTGAAACTCAGAATAAAAATTATTGTGAATAATATGTTTTAGTTGTCATTACATCATGTTAAATTTCATAAAAGTAAGTAACAAAGAAAACAAATAAGGAATAAAAAGAAATATTCTCATACAAAAGTATTGTATGTATTTTACTTATCTGTTTGTTTACTATCTGGAATTTGTAACTTACAACAATACAAGGAGTTTGAAAGAGTATTATTTATTTGTCACTAGTATTTGAAGTAGGAAATTAGATTTCATACCTGTAGGTTTCCAGGGTTACTATTATTACTGTTGATACAGCTAGGCCTAAAGTGACAAAATTAGGGCTAGCAATTCAGATACACTCCTCAACGTTGTGCATCTTAATTTTTTCCTGAACAACAGTTAATTTAACAAACAGACATACTAAACAAATGGTAAATTTGTAACTATTTAATGTATAACATAGCAATAATTAAATAAAGGCAGAAATGTTGGCTCGGTAAATCTCCTTAGTCACTTAAAAAGCGGAAAGGACACACACACACTATTTAAATGAAATTGGTTATTATTACTAGAAGAACCTTGAAGAGACTATTGGAGGGAGAAGTGTGTGTTCCACGGCCAGTGCCAAGCTACTCAAGTATATAATTATAGCTGAAGATGTATTATTAAAATCATCTTATTTACTTTAGGTAATTGGTGTTAAAAAAACACACCATATATTAGGGACCACAACACATTACTTGGACTGCACACAATGACAAACATGCTGGAGAAATGAGAACCTGTGTCAGCAGTAGGAGTAATAGTATTAAAATCACCTTAATTACACACAAAAAATGAAAACAGGGTACACAGCGACAAATAACAAAGAGAATATTAAAAGTGGTCACTCCCAGTTGCCTCCCCTGCTTGGAGGTTTTGAATTGGAATAAGGGACAGTGTCACACTACCAGGACTGTCCACTAACAAACATACTGGGATGAATTCTATAATCGGAGAAAAGAAAACTTGTACTTTGGTTGGTGCTTAACTCCTCCTGCATGTAAATCAAATAAAACAGAGTTAATTCTCAAAAGTGAGAAATATCTAGTTTTTAAAAAGCCTTTAACTTTTTGGTATTGAACATAGGCTAAATAGCCTATGGTGCTTTTGCAATAAAAAGATACGTTTTTTTGTGTATGCTTCTTTAGGGTTTGGCAGGGCCACCAACAAAAAAAATCTGTGACGTACAGCATTAAAGTTTCCCCCCTCAAGGCTAAAAAAAACAATGTACTGATGTTCATAATAATAATTAATGAAGAAAAGTACTACAGGAATAACACTCATTTGAAAAATTGTGTTTGTCTTATCTAACGTTTTATTTCGAGTCAACTTCAGTATCACTTATGATATGCTTTAGACATGGCTAAAATGTTACAATCTAATTTTGTTTCATTATTATTATTACATTAGTCCATTCTAAGTATGATTTTAATATGTTTACTATCAAGAATAATATAACACTACAACATCTAACACTTGCTATCAAGTACAATCTCAGTCAGAAAGTCAAAAACTGTTTTGTCAAAAGTGCCAAATTAAATAAACTCTTAAAGCACAGAGGAATCATTTAGCAGTGACTCGCCAAGTAGAGCTGGGAGTGGCTAGAAGTATTTGGTGAACTGAAATTAGAGTGCATATAGCACTGATGGACTTTAAAGGACCCAAAACAGACACGCAAGTGTAAAATGTTAAGAAGTGTGTCATTAAGTTATGTTTAACTCCAAATAACTTGACTTGTTTTATTCTATACATATTTGAATGAATCACAGAAATGTTGAAGAATTTGTTCAAATGAGGACTGTATTCAGTGAACAGTTAATTACAACATTTATAATGTTGCCTGCTATATCCAAGTGCTATTTTCCTTTACATTTAATACCTGTTCTGAGAAACCTTTGTTTTGTAATGAAGTTATATATTTCAGTTAAGTTTGAAAAACTAACAAACCTGTCTGACTTGTTTACATTACTGACTGCTTTTCTATACATATTAATGCTTTTGTTTTTCAAGAAATTTTACACGTTTTAAAATATGTAATTTCTCAGTGAAAATCTGAGAGCAACCTATCAAGCTTTGCAAAGTTTTTAATGCAAAAATCTAACGTATAATAGTCTTAAGTAATGTGAGCACCAAATATACATTTCCAGTACTTGTCCTTTGTTACTGTTTATAATACAAGTTGTAATTATTATGTTCCAGCAGAATTCTGAAGTGTATAAGTTTTATCTACATATTATTATGCTAATGTACAAATTATCAAATGGATTTCTTAAAATGAGTTAAGATTCTAAACGCATAATTAAGTGTTTTTAAACACAGATTGCATTATACGAGCCAGTAACAACATTTGTCATGAAATTGATTTTAAAATACATTAGGAACCAAATTCTTTAAACATGCTTACATAATATTAAATCAGCATTGTGAAAGTGTTTCATTAACTTATTATAATGTATATAAACATAATACAACAAAATTTTAACGAGAAACAAGATACAAGTATTTTACCATGGCATAAACTGTGGTTAAACTTTAACATGAAGTTTCAAATTCAAGAATGTAAGCCTACATACATTAGCAATGAGTAAGAATTTAATAATCCAATATTCACTCTCTTGACAGTGCAACAAGTTATCTATCTCTGATCGTTAAGTTTATGAAATTATTAAACGTTTTTAGTGAGTTTAGTGACCAGAACTTAATGGAGGGACATTCCTTCTCCATTTTATTTTGGCTTATAGCTCCTCTAAGTTCGTTGTTAAATCTAATCACGAAGAGAATTCGCCCATGTTTCAAAAATCGCTATTGGTCAAAATAAAGTGACAAATATGACCCACTCCACAGTGTAATGTTACAAATTTGTAAATAGATTAGTTTTAATAATTAAACTAAATTAGGCCTCGTTTCAGTATGCTGAACTATGAAACATACAATTTTTTTGGTACACAATTCTCTTATGAAAACTAAAAATTGTACATCTTATGACTACTTAATGCAGACCTATCATTTAAAACATGGAAATCGACAATAACTTAAAATGACCACACCTTAGGGTCTCCAAGGGAACTGCAGTATATACGTCACACGTTACACAGATTGTTGTATCTCGGTGTAAACAAGCTTAAAAATCATATCTAAGATTAAGTTTAACATTTCCAAGTTCCAGAAATAAAAAGAATTTGGCACCATAGCAGCATGATTACTATTTTCAATAAATTTTTAATAGCTTTATAAAACTGATCATATCATTGCTTTACAAGGTCTAATAATTAATTAATTAATTGTGATTATAATCGACAGAAGAATTAGGCCTGCAGAATTTCATTAATTCGAAGTTTTGGTGTTACCTATTATGTCAATACCACTTGAATACTGATATCTGTACGAGTTGTAACTATGTGTTATATAATGTAAAAACTGTGCCAACGATCAGTGAACAAGCGTATAAATAATATGGTATTATGTAATGATAATCGTATGTATTTAATATATCTAACAGTTAATTGTTACATAGGAAGAAAAAAATACAATCTTACCTCATCATACATAAACTGTAGCGTCAGGGCTGATTTTCCAACTCCCCCACTTCCTACCATAATAACTTTGTGAAGCGCTGGCTGGCTGTTCTTAGGTTTTGACATTATGGGCTGTTCTGTACTCGACTTTTTGGTCCTTACACTAGGGAAGCAACACATTGTCATTACGTTAAATCAAGTTGCTTTGTCTTTTTTTGTTTTCTATCCTAGTCAGAGTTTTACTATTAAGTTACTAATTTGTTGGCACTGTATAAGAATATTTAATTACAAAGATTGAATAAGAAATAAAAGTTCGATATAATAATATCCAGACTGCTTTTTACAGCGCTCTAATAAATTATGTGGAATGTAGAATCCCTGTAATATTTAGAGAAACGAAGAGAATGATCTACGGATGTGAAAGCCGGTCAGTATTAACATTGCAGCACCACTAACTGCGCCAAAGCCTACAAGTTATGAGTCACAAAGAGTGCTCTTTAACCGCAAACAACTGGTACCAACAGACGCGTGACGTTAAACAGCGGAACTGGCCAACGTCTGCACTCGATGCTGCGGAAAGTATAGCGCCACCTTTTATTTTAATTGACCTTCATTGACAAACATTATTTATTAAATTCTATTTTGTCAGATGCGTATAGATCTTTGTTTTGTTGCTCCCAGACGTCTAATGGTTTCTAACATTTTGCATGAATCCCGCTGATACAAATGAAAATGTTTTATCAAACATTAACAACGAATTCAAAGCGAATAACTTCTCTGATGAGAAGTCATAGCTTGTAGATGCTAAATTATTAACTATTTCCTGCTGGACTTTAATTATAGGTTAATGCACTCTACTCATATTACTAAAAAGACGGTCTTTTTAGCTACCCTCAAGTTTTCTGGTATCTTATACGTTAATAAAAACGCACGCTACTAACGTTTAGTGTCCCCCCCCCTCCCCGAAAACAGGCAACACAGCACGTGACCATCTTCGTGGTCTCGTCTGCATCCTCAACGTTAACTAGTTTTTCAAAGTTTGAAATTAAGAGCTAATCCACATTCCTGGTTTATGTAGGCTTATTAAATATATAGTTTGTTATGTTTTTTTTTTATTGTTATTACTTTACTGATGTTGTACTCTACCAAGAATAACTTATAAGCTATGTCAGCATCTTGTATTACTACTCTCAAGAGGACATTTGTTAAAAGTTTTTAAAATCAGGGTGACAGATTTATTATATATTTATGTGATGGACTCGGCTACATAAGCTTTGAAGTGAATATGTACATTGGCATGTATGATAATGGCAACAAAACTTAAACCGAGTTCCACTCGAAATACATCACACAAACTATGGATCAACATATTACAATTTGTTGGCATAAGACGTTGTGTGCTATAGTAATAGGCGCCTTTTAAGTAACTGATATCAGTATTTCGAGCGTTACACGCCTAGTTGACCTGATTAGTTCTGGTATTAAGCGGAAGGCTTCGTAGGCAGTGAGTGGGGTTCGGCGCGAACCGCGTGCGATCGAGGTGCTATTATATTCTACTCATTGAAGATCCGTATAAGGCCGGTAAATAAATATTTGATAGAAATCACTTACGTTATTGTGGTGTGATGTTACACAAACTACCGATCAATCTATAAGGCCGGTCAATAAATATTTGTTAGAAATAACTAATGTTATTGTGGTGTGATGTTACACAAACTACCGATCAATCTCTAAGGCCGGTAAATAAATATTTGTTAGAAATCACTAACGTTATTGTGGTGTGATGTTACACAAACTACCGATCAATCTATAAGGCCGGTCAATAAATATTTGTTAGAAATCACTTACGTTATTGTGGTGTGATGTTACACAAACTACCGATCAATCTATAAGGCCGGTAAATAAATATTTGTTAGAAATCACTAACATTATTGTGGTGTGATGTTACACAAACTACTGATCAATCTATTCTACACATTTCGAAACGTAAATTGAATCGTGTATTTTTTTTCTAAAAGGTTGGGTTTATAGGAACAGAGATCTATCTTAGTTTATATGATAACTCTAAGTGTCAGAAATATAAAAGAAAATAATCCAATTTTCCTTTTCAATACAGAACATTTATTAATCAAACTACTAACCCTTCCTTAAATCAACATTTGATTGGTTCTTACCATTATGACGTTTGTCAAACTTCAAACAATAACTTGTTCGTGGTGTATGACCAGTTTTACAAAATTGTTCTATAATTAAACTAACTATTACCATGAGATATTTTGTTTGCTTGTTGTTGTTAAGCACAAAACTATACAGTGGGCTATCTGTGTTGTGCCCACAACGGGTATCGAAACCCGGTTTTTAACGTTATAATACCTTGAGAGAAAACTGAACATCGTTTATATGGATGGTGCTAGTTAAACGAGACTTCAAATGATTATATTATACAAATCTGAACAAAGACAAGCACATGTTTATGTAGATGAATGAAGTTCAGAAGATTAATTTAATAGTGGAGGATTCAAAGCGCAGATCGTAAGCTGCGTTCTATCTCAACAATGGGACTAAACCTAGAGCACTCAATGTAGTTCTCAGCCGACCACGGTATAGGTTCTTACCTGTGGGATTAACAAGTACCACGTGACAACCAACAGGTTAAGAAAACTTAAAATTCAAGGAGAAGTGACTGGAAAAAGAACGACTTCAAACGCACGCGTCGAACGAGTATAAAAGTGGGCGTATGAACTAAAACAATACCGGACAACATACATGCATATCACTTGTAATATATATATATATATATATATATATATATATGACCATGGTTAACCCGTGGGCTAAATGATACGATAAACACACACTAAGAATGACAGTGATTCACTGGTAGAGGGGTAGGTGGGTGGCTGACACATTTGATGACAACAAATTAGCAGAAAAAAAAAAAAAATCAAACTTTCCTATCAGCATTACGAAATGATTCTTGACGGATAACTTGTGTATTCTACTGTAAGTTTTTAATGCTGTGTGTGTATACCTATATCTCGGTGATATAATAACCAATGATAACTAAATAAATTACACTTGTCGGACACTTTTTGTTCCAAACAAGTTATGTCCCATAATCGCGCAAGTCCGTTAGTTGAACATCGTTTCTGCTGTATTTTTAAGGCATTCCGAAGATTTAATCAAATGACAGCCATTTGATCGTGGACACAAATCAGTCTTAACTGACAAACATATACGATTCAGAGTGTTTCATAAATTTTAAGTTTGTTTAGAAACAATAAATTGTTGGGTAAGGCGCGTTACACATCAGGATTTATTTCGGCTTAGAAAAATAGGCAACGCTTCAGTCTTTTGTTTGGGTGGGCTACCCTTGTCACGTGCGGGGGATCGCACGGTTGAGAAAGATGAGTTCTAGAATTACCAGACGACCCAGTTTCTAGCCTTAGCTTTTTTTTTGTACCGATCAGAAATAACTAAAGTATTACAATGTTTTAGGTTCTATACACCTCCGAATTCCATACATACACGTGGTTCCCTTAAATTTTACTTGGAGAACCACTTGCCAAAAACAGATCACACAATACGGTGCCCCTCACCCACCCCTGCTACGTTTTCCTAACCTAATCCATCACTGAGATTTGAAAACCTGACCAGCTGTGAAAAAAAAAACTAAGAAGCAAATTTTCCTTACGAGTATGTTCAAGACAACTTGAATTGTTTTTTATTTATTTATTTAATCTTTAATTTTTTTAACTAGATAATCTTCTAATACATTTGGTCATGGTTTTAAAATGCGATACAATAAATATGAGATTATTTAGCAAATTTAAACTGTTTCAGAGCAGCCTATAGTGTCACTCCGTATGGAAAAAAAGAAGAAAAAAAAAAGTCCAGGTTTCTCACTCTAGAAATGTGGTAACCCCAATCAGTTCGCACTCGAAAGCTGAGCACTTTCTCACTCTGTAAATGTGGTAACCCTACTCAGTTCGCACTCCTAAGCACTCCCTCACTCTGGAAATGTGGTAACACTACTCAGTTCGCACTCGAAAGCACTTTCTCACTCTGGAAATGTGGTAACCCTACTCAGTTCGCACTCCTAAGCACTCTCCTCAGTCATATACACTCTGTTTTTCACCACACATATTGTATAATGTCTTTGGGTTGATGAGAATAATACCTTGTGAGGGGCAGTTTATTTGAGGGGGGGGGGGCTAAGCCTTCCCAAGCCTCTTATACGCGCCACCTCTGCTTAGAAAAGTGAATGAACATTTATTATTCATCAAAAAGTTTCAGACACATACACCTATGTTGCACATTAGCACAAATACAATTACAGATAATCTCTGGAATGTAGCGACCTTTATCTTGAGCTACTCACACAGTGTCAAAGGTCATTTCGCTTTTGGCGTTACTGATCTTTCCCACAAAAGCTGTCACAGGAGAATTATGTAGGCTTGTACTAATGTTCTCCGAGTGACGTCGAGTAGGGGTCTAACAATACGCGGAGGTTATGTCCTTATTTTTTATTTATGAGATGACCAATTATAATTTGGAGTCTCGCCATGCCAATACAGAGTTACATAACTGTTTTATTTCACACATACAAATAAAGTGTTATTCACATTATTCAATATTGTGTCCACTGTCATTACTTCAGTTGAATAAAGCCAGAAACTCAATTTTAACCCAATCTGCTCATCCCCTAGTCAGAGTGGCTACTATTACTATATGAAGGTGGTCAGTGTACCCGTAAATAGTAACCGGTGTAATAGGTTGGAAATTTCAAAGATAAAGGGCCTGTAAGGTGCGCGCGCACACAAAATAAATAAAATTAATTAAACTTTCAGAGCTTGTATTTCTATAGGCCTAAAGATCCACGTTGTTTTTGATGAACGAATTTCAGTACTAAGGATTTCTGAAGGTTGCATTATTTTCATACCTTTCACATTTACAATTTCATCCTAAATATTAAAAATAACTATGTATACGCTCAATTAAATTTCCATTATTACAAAATTGAAACGTTAATAAATTATTTCACTATAATGTCAGTAAGAGAGTAGAAAACATTCAACTGTCTTGGTTTTTTAATTTTTCTTGTGCGTTTGTTGAATTTCGCACAAAGCTACTTGAAGGCTATCTGCGCTAACCGCCTCTAATTTTGAGCGATAATTTTTGTTTGTTTGAAGTTAAGCACAAACCTACACGATGGGCTATCCGTGATCTGCCCACCAAGAGTATCGAAACCCGGTTTCTAGCGTTGTAAGTCCGCAGACATGCCGCTGCGCCACTGGGGGGGGGGGGGGGCTTTATGATAGACTAGAGGTAAGGCAGCTACTCAACACTTGCTCACCGCCAACTCTTGGGCTACTCTTTACCAATAAATACGTTCTCATGGCTGAAATGGCGAGCATGTTCGTGGCTGGATTCGAACCCGTGATACGCAGATTGCGAGTCGAGTGTCTTACGATGGACTTTTTATTTTTACTATTCGTACTTGTACTAAAGGATCTCGTTATCTATTTCCGTTACTGGAATTACGTTGCTCATTTTA